AAGAATTTTGACCGGAAATTATCAAACAAGCAGATACGTAACAGTAGTATCATATTGATCGGTATTAGGGTCACGTTTGACCCCTGAAAGTCAGGTTCCCTTAGGGCCTCTTCTTAAAGGTCGTGTACGATGTTCAAAAAAAAAGTCAAAAGGGCGTCATTTGTTATTAATAAATAACTTGCAAAAACACTGACCAGTAGAATTCTCGGGAAATTTTGTAGACTTTAAACACCTTATTTGTGATTCCCTGTACAGTATAATGTAATATGCGATAATATCACTTTAAAAAAAGGGGCAATTTATACGTACGATTCCAAGGGTGAAATTCATTAATATACGTATATTTTTACGCTCGTCAAAATGGCGAAATTTCTGAAAGAACCATTAAAATATGTGTGTATATCTACAATGAATTGCAACCACGGTGTTTTGTTGTGCAATCGTTAGATGTCGCATTTCAAGGGTAGGTCCACCGATCTGTACATAATCGATAGGAAGGTCGTGACCTGTCTCATTTTTGTTTTTAAATATGTAAACACAGCTACGGCAGGCTTATGTTTATTACACGACTCCAATATTGGATAAAATGTTACATAAGCTCGTTCATTACACTAAACACTGACGCTTCCCAGATGAGATTTTAAGTTTAATCTTAACAAGATGCAGCTTTCGATGCAACCTCCCATATGTTGACTCTAGGCCTCAGAAGTTGCTCAAAGTCACATACGAACAAGAAAGGTTTTGGTATGCCGAATTTAGGACTCGACTCCTATAATTGTATGGCGTTGGTTTAAAAGCTGATAAATAAAATGTTAATTTGTAATTAAATTTTATATTAATAACCGTTGCACCAAGGTAGTGCGATGATTTTAAGGCGTGGCAAAAGCCAAGATTTTGTGTTTTATGCAAGATTATATTGTTACGTCTCCGTTCGTTAGTTAATTTTCCGTAAATTCGTTCCTACGAAACTTTAGCGACACAAGTCCTTTCTTTAATAAAACTGGCTTATTCTTTCTGAATATAACTTTGCGATACACTTAATTTCAACAGTCGCGCTATAACAAACGCTATAATTCTCAACGAACGTCTCACGTGCTCGACTCAACAATACTCAGTTCAATTACACATTGTTCCGTCACGTTGTGACCATCTTATATATACAAGACTAACACATATCTAGTAAATGCAAGGACATTCAT